TTTGTTTGTTTTGAGTTAGGTTCTCACTACATTGCCTAGGCTGGTCTAGAAATCATGAACAAAGTAATCCTCCAATCTCAGCCTCCTGAGAAGCTGGAACTGCAGGCACATACCACCACATCCAGCTTTATTATTTACATTTTATACAATCTTTTTTTCCTTTGAGGTCAAGAAAGCTCTTCATTCTTGTAACCCTTCACACATGATGGCAATATGAAATAGATGTTGAACAAATGGTTATTGAATTAAATTTAAGTTTGTGAGTGATCAGTGCTTCATAAATACCATTCTATTATTTCTTAGAAGTTACTTTTCTTTTTTTTTTTTCTTTTCATTTGCAGTGCTGGGGACTGAACCCAAGGCCTTGCTCATGCTAGACAGGTGCTCTACCACTCAACTATACTCTCCCCAAAAAGTCACTCTGAAACAAAAATTCTTCTGGATTATCAAGATAGGAAATGGTATACATACTCAATATGCTTTTCATCTGTGGTTCTCAAACTGGAGTTCCTGATCAGCAACATTAGCATTACAAGGGAATTTCTCAGATCCCACCCTAAGCCTAGTAAATCAGAGACTCTGGGCATAGGCCCAGCAATCTGTGGTTTAAGAAATCATCCAGGTAATTCTGTTAGTCTCTAAAGATTGAAAACTTTTTTTTTTTTTTTAATAAAAAGTGATTTCTCATGGTGTGGTCTGGGGACTGCCTGGTGCATCAGAATCACTGACATTGTGAGACATCCTGTCTCCCATCCCAAAGCTACTGAATCTACTGGAGGTGGGGAGGGTTATTTTTTGTTTATTTGTTTGTTGTTTGTTTGAGGGGATTTTTATTTATTTATTTATTTTAGGTACTGGGGATTAAACCCAGGGGCACTTTACCACTGACTTGGGATCTAAGAAAAGCAGCTGGAAGGAGAACAAAATGAACAGTTAGAAGAAATTGACACCAGAGTGTAAAAATTCAAAGCCCCCTTGCTAACAGAAGGTGAGAAGGAAGGGCCCCCCCCCCCACATGCCTGACCAACAGAGCTGAACTGTATGTGCCAAAAGGACAAAGGGAAGTGGGAACAACAACTAAAAGTATACTTTTTTCTTTCTTTCTTTCTTTCTTTTTTTTGAGGTGCCACTAGCATAGTCCCATGTGATAAAGATACATTTCTTTAAATAACCCATTAAGAGTCAGTAAAACCTTGCATGCATAAGCCCCTAGTTTCAATCCCCAGAATCACCAAACAAACAACAAAAAAAGAGTCAGTAAAACACCTAGGTAATGTTCAGGAAGATTGTATACCCCATAGTACTCAGTACTCAGCCACTGAGGAACCCAGAAGTGGGATCTTGCACTCTAGGGGATAAAATGCTGGTTGTACCCTATGTGTGTCCTATCCACCAGGCACCCAATCTTGCAGACCATCATTAAAGTAGAGCTGTGGTTTTTGCTGGACCTTGTGTTTCTTAGTTCATTCTTTGGGCTTGGACAGGTGAGCGTGTTTCTCACAGGCTTGACTTGAACTTGCAATCCTTCTGCCTCAGCCTCCTGAGTCACCAGGATTACAGGCATGTACCAACTTGCCTGGCTCTTTTTTGGTTTTGTTTTGTTTTTGAGTCAGGGTCAGCAGACAACTGCTTCCCTTGCACCTCAGTATTTCTCCTCCCTCCAGTATTAACACCATATGCACCAGCTCCATTCAAGAATCTTCTCCAAATCTCTTTCATTGTGTAGCTTGCCCTCCCTCTGTTCCTTCCGTCTGGAACACCTTTGGCAAACTCTACTCTGCACAACTCAGCTCTTCACTCATGTGAGATGTTCTCCAACCCTAAGACATAAACAGAGGCAGCGTTGGGCTTTAGACAGGGTGTGTCTGACTTTCCAATGTACACTGCTTATTTCTACTTGGTGTGGTTTGTGCTCTTGGACAATAAATACTCTTGACCAGTATAGCCCTCAGTAAAATGAATAAATCAGATGAGATTATATCTAGGGTTCTTTTCAGCTATAATATCTCAACAAATCAAAAACAATAACAACAAAAATTTATCTTGGCCAGGTGCGGTAGCACATACCTGTCATCCCAGCAGCACCAGAGGCTGACGCAGGAGGATCATGAGTTTAAAGCCAGCTTCAGCAACAGTGAGGCACTAAGCAACTCAGTGAGACCCTGTCTCTAAATAAAATATAAAATAGGGCTGGAGATGTGGCTCAGTGGTTGAGTGCCCCTGCTCAGTACAAAAAAAAAAAAATTACCTTTCCTCAAAGATTATCTCAAGCCAGATAACTTTTTAAATTTCCTTATCACAAGATAGTTCTATTCAAATATGGGGAGATAATCTTCTGTTCATTTCTTCTTTTCATCTGCCTTTCTCATGGATCTGAGAACAAAATAATGTCACAAGCAGGAAGCCATACGGCCAGATGATTTCTGTCTTAACCAATTCAAACTGGTAACCAGGAGGAACAACTTCTTGCATGAACCAGTTACTCTAGTCATTCCAGAACTTGATCTTCTCTCCTTCTTTTGTTCCCTCTCCAAATACCATGGAGAACCAGGCACAGTGGCAGTGGTGCAGGCCTATAATCTCAGTGGTTTAGGAGGTTAGGCAGGAGGATTGTGAGTTCAAAGCCAGCCTCAGCAATTTAGCGAAGCCCTAAGAAACTTAGTAAGACCCTATTTCCTGGGAATGTAATGTAAGGGTCCGGCGAAGCGTCGGAGAAAGAGACCACCAAGTGACCAATCATGCAATTGGCAGAAGGGGATTTATTGAACCAGCATGCTGGGGCTCCGTGCCCACTCGAGAAGGGAAAGCAGCCCAGAGCCCAGAGCAGGGGTTGTGCAATGCTTAAGTACACTTTTTTTGGGGAGGGCGGGACTTTACATACATCACAGTCTCCTTTAACAAATCATCATACACCGTGGGAAAGTCAAACAACAATTCTTAGACTTGATTAGTACATACATTGGCGGGAACAGGTCAGGCTGGAGTGATAGGTCATTCCTAAGGAGGGGGTTACATTCAAACTGATTGGTTTGGGCCTTGAATGCCTACATGACAAGCTGCACAGGGTCTTGAATGCTATAAATCAACTAAATGGCCAGTAGGGCATTGTCTTAACTGCCTCAGGAATTTAACCCATGCTTTGCAGTTTAGAAGCTTTACAATGCCTGGTCTTTTATACTTTAACTTTTACACTTTAACTTCAATTTCTTTTACCCTTACATTCCCCACTCCTTTTTCTGACTACTTTTAATCTTAAAAGTAATGCATCACGATTATTGAAGGGTTTCACATTTCATGAGTTGTGTTGTGTTCCCTGGAATCATTTTCTGCATGGCCTCCATTTTAGATTTCACTCGGTATTAGACCCCGATTTATCTAACTACACTGACTACCTAACTTTAAATCTGGCTTCATTCCCCCCTCTAATTTGGGAACTCCTTACTGCTGTAAGGAAGGGGGGCGAAGAGGATCTTTCTGGCTTCTTCAGGCTGAGAAGATTTACACATTGAGAAACACAGCATTCAAACCAGATTCTCTCTTTACAGAGAGAAAAGGCAGTTGAGTTATTTGCCTAAGGCAGCACAGCTGGCAGAATCCCAGGTGCCTGACTCACAGCCTTTCTACAATGTTGCATTGTTTCCAGGGTGCTACAAAAAATAGCTCAGTCTGCTCAGCCACACTACCATGTAGGCACAAAAATACAGCTCAACAATCAGGCTCTATTTCATCTAATCATTTTGCCTAAAGAATTGCCCTCCAGCTGGGCATGGTGGCACACTCTGTAATCCCAGCAGCTTGAAAGAGCTGAGGCAAGAGAATTGCAAGTTCAAGGCCAGTCTTAGCAATTGAGCAAGGCACTAAGCAACTCAGTGAGACCATTTCAATAATAAAATAAATAAATAAATAAAAAGGGTTGGGGAAGGAAGGAAGGAAGGAAAAGAAAAAGAAAAAAGAATTGCTTTTGATGATTTTATTAAGATCTAACTCAACTTTTGTGACCAGTTCCCAACACTAGAAGGTTCCCGTCTTCAAGTCCTGATGACCACAAGAACATGATTTTTGAGGGGCTGGAGCATGAACAGTGTTTGCTTTGCATGTAGAATAGTCTCAGTCTTGAGTAACCTAAGCAGCTCTTTTGAGGTCCCAGCCCACTATTTGTACATGTCACTGACAATCAGGGCCTAACCACAGGAAAGTCAAAGTGGGCAAAGCATTTGTGAGTGTTTTACTCACAAATTCTCCCTAGAGAATCTTACTTTCCTACTTTCTCTAGGCGCATTAATATTCTTTATCTGCTCTAAGTCTTTCTGCAGCAGTATTTCCTACTCACTCCAACCTAAATAAGCCTTTGTTCATATATATATATATATATATATATATATATATATATAGTTGTAGTTGGACACAATATCTTTATTTTAATGTGGTGCTAAGAATCGAACCCAGGGCCCCACATATGCTAGTCAAGTGCTCCACTGCTAAGCCACAACCCCAGCCCTCCCGCTTTGTTCTTTTTTTAAAATATTTTTTAGTTACCCACTTGAATCAAAGTGTGGAATATGATATGTCAAGAAATTTGTAATGTTTTGAACAACCAATAATAAAAAATTAAAAAAATATATTTTTTAGTTGTCAATGGATCTTTATTTTATTTATTTCTATGAGGCGCTGAGAATCAAGCCCAGTGCCTCACACATGCTAGGAAAGCACTCTACCATTGAGACACAACTCCAGCCCAAGCCTTTGTTCTTGCAACTAAAAAGTCAAAAGGCATTTTACAAATGAGTTAAAATCAAAATATTGAAGACTAGTTTATTTAAGCCCCTCACCTAGAGGCATTTCTTTTTCTTTTTTCTTTTGGTTTTTTTAATTGTGAAGCTGGAAATTGAACAAAGAGCCTTGTGCATGCGAGTCAAGCACTTTATCAACTGAGCTACATCCCCAGCCCTCCTAGAGGCATTTCTAAGTTAATTGTATATGTATAATAATTATCATCATTATTATTATTTGCAATTGACAAAATATATTCTCATGCAAAGCAGGAAGAACATGTTTTTGTGATCTGACTCGAAGGTTATGTCACTTGTCCAAAATTACCTACTGTTTAAATACTATGTTGGATCAAAGCCTGTCTGTAATCTTGAAGGCAAAGTTCTTTCAGTTATATCAACCTGAATGTGAGGGGTTGACAACTAAAGGCCCCTGGTGAATGTCTGTTGAGTGAGTATTGAAATAAAAAGTAACAGCAAATGAGGTAGTGAAAAAGAAAAAAAATAAAACTTAGGTTTATTACTTTAGGGGACCAGAAGGGAATTGTTCTCAGTAGACATGGAAGACTATGAGAAATTAAGAAAGCAACTCCCCCAACACACACACACACACACACACGCACACACACACCACACTCATACCATAAACTCACCCCTTCTCCCATATACTGCCCATGTGTCAGTCCTCAGATTTAATGGCTTCCCAAAGGAACCTGTTAATAACATGTTTGTTTCTTTCTTGCTTGCTCTTTCTCAAAAATTAAGAATCACAAGAGAGTGCCTGGCCCCTTGGCTCAGCAACTCAGGAGGATGAGGCAGGAGGATCCCAAATTTGAAGCCAGCCTCAGCAATTTAGAGAAGCTCTATGCAACTTAGTGAGACCCTATCTCAAAATAAAAAATAAAAAGAGCTGCAGAAGTGCCTCAGTGGTTAAGTGCCCCTGGGTTCTACCCCTGACAGACAGACAGACAGACAGACACACACACACACACACACACAAAATCCGCAAGAGAGCCAGGTGAGGTGGCAAGTGGTACACAGGAGGTTGAGGCAGGGTGCCTAGAAATTCAAAGCCAGCCTGGGCAATTTAACAATACTCTGTCTCAAAGTTAAAAAAAAAAAAAAGAACTAGGTATGTGTAAGGTCAGGCAGCAGCGACCAAAAAGAGGCAGATTTTAGAAGGCCGCTGGAGGAGGCTTTACTGAGATTTCGCTTGGGGTGGGGGCAGGGGGACAACACCTCTCAGACCAGCAGAGTAAGAAGAGGGTCTGAGGAGAAGCGAACAGGGTTGGGGGGGGGGGGTGGCTCCACCAGACTGGAATGTTTATTGGGCTTAGGGCAGGAAGGGACAGCTTGGGACAGGAAAAGGGTTTTTTAGAGTCCTTTGTCCTACTGGAGTTGGTGGAGGAACTGGCTAAGATCCAGGATTGGCCTGGAGACCCTGCTGATTGACAGGCGGTTCCCTCAGTGCCTGATCAGTGTTTCTTTCCTCCAAGCAGGCTGCTTGGTGCTTTGTTCCTAAGTCACCTTCACCTAACAATATGTAGCTCAGTGGTTCAATCCCCTGGGTTCCATCCCTGCAAGGAAAACAAAGGAAAAAAAAAATGATAAGAGGTACAAAACCTATTAGCCTAGGTAGATTTGCTAGAGATACACAGGAATGGGAGAAGGGAGGGAAAAAGTAAGTGGCAATTGTCAAAAGAGCCCCTGACTAGGAATTTATCCAGAGGTACCAGTCTCCTTTCATATGGGACACAGTGTTAGGCAGAAAGAGACCTAACACTGTGTCCCGTAGATTTGCCAGCACACATTATGTTCGTGTTGCCAGAAACAAACTGATCAAGAAACAGCAACATCACTTGCTTGAAAGAGGAAGAGAACTCGAAATTTTATTTTACGCTGGCAGGCTCAGAGGAAAACAAAACTCCAATTCTGAGCCTTGATCCACAGTTTCTCACAACATTTATAGGTTATTTGATATCATCTTAGACCCATCTATCATTGGGGATTTTTCCTCTTTTAAAAAAATTTCCTAGTCTACGAGGCTGAAGGCATGTTCACAGAAACAGATAAGAAGAAAGGGCTCTTTTCACAGGCATCTGTTACATTTCTAGAGGGAATAATCAGACTCTTAGGGCAATTATTTATGATCCAAAAGGTAGGGACACATGGTTAATTAGGCTTCCTGGAGAAAGGCTAAGAGGAGGAGGAGAACTGACCCTTTCCCCAGGCATTGGTTTCTGACCATAATATTTTTGTAATTTCATTTCACAACCAGGTCTGATTTTGCCATCACAGTCCCAAGTCCACACATGCATACAAAAGCTGCTCCAAGGATCAGTTGACCAGTATGTATATGATTTTCCATAGGCAGTGCTAGGCCAGAAAGGGCAAAAGGACCCAAGTACACAGGTGCATGCCCTCAATTTTCACATAAGGCAGACTTAACACTTGCTCCAAAGGCACAACAGCTACACAAAACAATGGGCCCAAAGAGTATAGTTACTTGTAGCTCCAAGGTTCCTGACTCTGCAAGCCCCGTCACCTATGTTGGTGCATTTTGGCCCCTAGCCACCTTGGCCATTTCTCTCTCTCTCTCTTTCTCTCTATCTATCTATCTATCTCTCGTATGTCACCCTTTTTCTTGCTGTTCCCTTACCTCACAATAAACCTGCCTTAAACACTATCTGTGCCTCATTGTATAACTCAGCGTCTGCACTAGGGTAATATCCTAATCTTAGGCAAATTATACCCAAGGACTATGAAACAAATCACAGTGCTCCACAATCAACTATCAACTTCTGGTAACAAAAATGACAATCCTAGAATATTAGAACAGGAAGAGTCCCAATTGATTATCTAAGCCCACTGGATCACCATTTGCTTCTTTGTGCATAGAAATGAACTGGGCCCAGATTATCAGCCAAGAAAAGAAGAGGTTGGAACCAAATGTGGCAGTGCACATCTATGATCCCAGCTACTCTGGAGGCTCAGGCAGGAGGATTGAAAGTTGGAGGCCAGCATGGGCAATGTTGTGAGATCCTGTCTCAAAATAAACTAAAATAAAGGCTGGGACTATAGCTCAGTGGTAGAGTGCATGTTTAACATGGGCAAACCTCAGCACCACAAAAAAAAAAAGAAAAGAAATATCAAAGCAAATGAATTTATTATCTGCTTCTCAATCTACAGTAAATAGGAAAGTTTCATTTTCATATAGAAACATCATCTCTATCCCTAAGTTGAAGTAAGAAAAGAAAACATTTCTCATATAAATTACGTATTTTTTGAAACTTGTTAATGAATGGGGATTTCAGAAGGAAATATAAAATATTAATTGTGGTTATCACTTACTAGGATTACAGCTTCTTTTTATTGTCTGTATTTTAAATTTTATTTAATTATTATTATTATTTTTGTACTGGGGATCTAACCCAGGGATGCTTTACCACTGAGCTACAACCCCACATCCCCAACCCGTTTTTATTTTTATTTTAAAAAAATTTATTTATTTATTTTATATCAGGGATTTAATTCAGAGGTGCTCAACCATTGAGCTATATCCTCAGCTCTTTTTTGTATTTTACTTAGAGATAGGGTCTTTCGGAGTTGCTCAGGGCCTTGATAAGTTGCTGAGGCTGGCTTTGAACTCACAATCCTCCTGTCTCAGCCTCCCAAACTGCTGGTATTACAGGTGTGTGCCACTGTGCCCAGCATTTTTTTTTTTTTAAAGGTTTCTTGCTGGAAACAGTTCAGTGGTAGAGCACTTGCTCAGCAAGCGTGAGGCACTGGGTTCATTCCCCAGCACCACAAAAATAAAAATAAAAAGGTCTCTTGCTATGCTGCCCAGGCTGGCTTCAAACTCAATCCTCCTGCTTCAGCCTCCCATGTAGCTGGGATACTAAAGATGTGTGCCACCAGGTCCAGCTTTGATCAGTATTTTCTAAGCTGAATATGTATTACCTATTGAAAGGATAAGAAGTTGTGTTTTTTTTTTAAGATGACGTGAATTTTCTAAAATGTTTGTTGTTGTTTTTAAAGAGATGAGGTCTTGCTCTGTTGCCCAGGCTGACCTAAAACTCTTGTGTTTAAGTGCTTGTCCCAGGCTCTTGAGTAGCATGTGTCACAGCACCCAGCTAAATGAAAATTTTTATTAGATTGTTCTTAATGCTCGAAAAACCAAACAACTAACCAGAGGAGTCAGTGATGATTGGTAAATTCTAGCTCAGAACTTTATTCTAGAGTCAGATGTGATGGTACACACCTGTAATCCCAGCAATTTGGGAGGCTGAAGCAGGAGAATTGCAAATTTGAGGTCAGCCTCAGCAATTTATTGAGACCCTATCTCAAAAAAAAAAAAAAAAGTATGGGGGATGGAGTGGGTAGACAAGGGACACAGCTCAAAGATAAAGCTCTCCTAGGCTTTATCCCTCATACCACAATAAATAAACAAATAAATAAGTTATTGTAGAAGTTAGTAACTGGGTGCAGCTCTTTGTCCTAGAAGATCCTACCACAAGCTTTTACATGTGTATCTGAATTACAGATTCTTAAAACGGCTCTGAGTCTTCAGTTAGGGAGTCGCAAACTGAAAGTCTAATTCATGAATCAAAACAATCTCTTGCTAGACACAGAGGCACACAACTGTCATCCCAGCAACTCAGGAGGCTGAAGCAGAAGGATTGCAAATTCTAACAAAGTCTTGGCAACTTATCAAGACTCTATCTCAAAATAAAAAATAAAAAGCGCTGAAGATGTAACTGAATGATTGAACACCCCTGGGTTCCATCCCCAGCGCGGGGGAAAAAAAACAAAGCCTTCAAATGTTCTGTAAAAGTATGGGTGTGTGGATCAAACCCAGGGGTGCTTAAGCAGTAAGCCATCTTTTATTTTGAGACAGGCCTTGCTAAATTGCTAAGGTGGCTTTGAACTTGTGATCCTCCTGCCTCAGCCTCTAGCCAGAAATCCTCTTGCTTCAGACTCCCATGTCACTAGGATTATAGGTATGTGCTACCATGCCCAGCTCCTAGTCATTTTCTAGGCCTCTAACTGCTTTATCTAAGGAACATAAATCCCAAAAGCCAGCACCAGTCCCTGGAACCACAAAACACACGGTTTTACTTTCATAAGGATTCCAAGATTAAACTGGAGGTTCTCAAGCAGTTGCTTACAAAAATATTTCTCCTCAAGCTATCACTGCAGGATACCCTTGCTAGGCATCAAACATAGGGTTAAGCTGGGCATGGCGGCACACAGCTGTAATCCCAATAACTCAGGAGGCTGAGGTAGGGGGACTGTGAGTTCAAAGCCAGTCTCAGCGAGGCCCTGAGCAACTCAGCAAGACTCTGTCTCTAAATAAAATATAAAAAGGGCTGGGGATATGGCTCAGTGGTTGAGTCCCCTGGGTTCAATCCCCAGTCCCTCCCCGCCAACCAAAAAAAAAAAAAAAACAGGGTTCCTGCATTCCTGAGAACCTCAGGGGTGCTTGGGCAGAAACCATACCTAGGCCATCATGCTTTGGTTTTTTTGTGTGTTTTGTGTTTGCTGTACTAGCACCCAGAGGTATTTTACCACTGAACTACATCCCTAGTCCTATTTATTTATTTATTTACTTACTTACTTACTTTTGAGACAGGGTCTCTAAGTTGCTGAGGCTGGCCTCTAGAGTACCTGGGATTACAGTTGTGTGCCACTGAACTCAGTTTGCCTAGCATATCCTTCCCCCAACACACACACTTTTTATTGGTGCAGTATAGTTGTACACAATGATGGATTTGTCGTTACATATTCATACATGCACATAATATAGCAACATAATCCAGTAGCCAGTATCACTCCCCAGCACTTCCCCTGACCCTCCCAATTTCTTACCCTTTGGTCTCTTTCCTCTACTGATCTCCCTTTGATTTTCATCAGATCTGCCGCCACCTTTCCTGTCCTTCTTCTTCTCTAGCTACCACATATGAGAGAAAACACAGGTCCCTTGATTTCTGAGTTTGACTTATTTTGCTTAACATAATGTTCTCTAGTTCCATCCATTTTCCTGCAAATGACATCATTTTGCCTAACACATTCTTGACAGGTGAGAATATGAAGATCATAACCAGTCCTTGTTTGTTTGTTTTATGAACTTGTGGGTAGATTCTGATTAGAGCATACTGTGACTACATTTTAACATATTCATGTTAAATAAATTATGTGGTTAATTCATACCATACTTTCTACAAAAGACAAAATCAAGGACTGAAAAATGTTTCCCAGAAAAGGGAAAGAATAAGACTCCAAACAGTTGACAGTGGTGATCTGGGGTAGATGGGTGGGGATTGCAAAAAACTTCTACTTTTCATATAATGTATTTATTACAATGTTTGAAAATGTTTAGTGAGTTTGTATTTCTACTTTTGAAAGCAGGAAGCATCACAGAGAAAAGCAGCATGCCTTTTGTCTTATCAGTGAATCAGATATTAGCATCTTTAGCTAATGTCATACTTTATTTTATCTTTGGTGCCATGGATTGATTCCAGAGGTACTTAACCACTGAGCCACATTTCCAGCCATTTTTAAATAATTTATTTAGAGACAGGTTCTCCTTGAGTTGCTTAGGGCCTCACTAACTTGCTGAAGCTGACTTTGAACTCGGGATTCTCCTGCCTCTGCCTCCTGAGCTGCTGGGATTACAGGCATGTGCCACCATGCCTGGCTCATGTCATACTTTTTTGAGATATTCCTGAGGCCTGCAAGAATCTCTAACTGCTGTCGCATTCCCTGAGAAGATTTGGCAGCTCCTTACCAATCTTCTGAATGGCAGGAAGACATTCAGATTTGAATCTGGGAAAAAGTAAAAGCCCCGGGGCTTCCTTTTCTTGTAACTCCTTCCCCTAGATCTGCAGCAACAGTCATTACCATCAGAGTGAGCAGTTTCCCTGGGGGGTCCTCTTTGATTCCCTCACCCCCATGAACACTTTGCTTATGGTTGATTCCCGGGCCTCTAAGAAAAGCCTAAGGCCACAGAGATATAACCTAGTATTGTTAGCGACAACAAACCTCATGATTAATCAAAGTAGTATCTTAGAAGTAGAATGTTAGTTAGAATCCTCAAATTGAGTGAAAGTTGGAGGTGAGGTGAGGAACTTTTGTGCTCCTGGGGGATGCCAACTGTTTAGCACAGTATACATTGTCAAAGACCTGTTTTCCATAATGCCCCTAAAACAATACTCTGTATTCAAGGAGGTCCTGCCAAATGTGTGGCTGTCCCAGGGGGATGCAAGAGACATAAAATTCATGACCTCTGCTCCTGAAGAACTCAAAATATATTTTTAGTATATGACATCTCTCACTGTTAATGAAGGGGCAAAGTAATATTGCATGTGTCTGGGTGTGTAAGCTACTGGCTTCTCACTATACTAAGACCAGCTCATCACTCATCTGCTACAGACAGTTTCTTGAGGACATTCTTCATTAAGTATTTCTGCTTAAGCTCTTACTTTAGTCCTCTGCCCTTGGCACTCTCCTCCTCTGCAGCCACCCTCCTGCCCCACTAGGAACATATGAGCAGAAGCTAAGCTATTATAATGCTCTGGTCTAATGCCCAGGAGGGCTTCTTTCACACAACCCAGCTTGTTCCAATTGGTTCAAAACCCTCTCCACCATCCTTGCTCTGAAGTCCTTCTTCCACACATCACATCAGGGTCAATCACTGTTAGAATATTGGCCCCTAAGGGGTTCCTGCTTCCTTTTCCAGCCAAGCACACTTTAGGAAGGACGTCCTAATTTTTCTGACAAAAGAGTCCATTTAGTCAGTTAGAACTCCCAAGAGAGGGTTGGAAACTCTTGCAATAGCACAGCCAGCCAGCTCGCTGCCAGCCAATTCCAGGAAGAGCCCAGAAGTAATAGTCAGTCTGCTGGTTTCTCTGCCTTCTCCCCACCCTTCACTGCCAAACTACGAGGGTTACATACAAACAGAAATCCCTCTGGCCTGCATAAATTCCCAGAACCCCCTAGGATGACTATGTAATTACAATCCTCTGTGTTAGATTAACAAAGACAATGAAAAGTGAAGACAGAGAAGGGAAAAGGACAAATTATTAAACAAAAAAACAACAACTAAAAATCTCTAAATTTGCATTAAAACCAAATAGAAAGCTTTATGAAACTGAGTTTTTAAGTTTTATATAATTTAATATAAAGCAGAATTACTTTATTTTTGTTTGTGGCACTGGGGATCAAACCCAGGGCCTCAGTGCATACCAGGTAAGTGTTCTACCACTGAGATGTACCACCAGCCACAGAATTAAGTTTTGTGTGGAGGTCAGTACTAGAGATTGAACCAGGAGTCCTCTACCACTGAGCTATATCCCAAGCCCCTTTTATTTGGGGGGGGATGTGTCAATTTTTAACACCTATAGTCCCAGCTACTCAGGAAACTGAGCCCAAAAGTTTGAGGCCCCCTTAGGCAACAAAGTGAGACATTTTTCTCTAAAAAACATTTCTATGCTAATGTAATATGCCAGATGTAATGATATGTATCTTATATTTTAACTAAAGCATCAAAAATGACAACAAAGAAGGAGCGTGGTGGTGAATGACTGTAAGCCTAGCAGCTTGGGAAGCTGAGGCAAGAGGATCACAAGTTCAAAGCCAGCTGCAGCAATGGCAAGGCGCTAAGCAACTCAGTGAGACCCTGTCTCTAAATAAAATACAAATAGGGCTGAGGATGAAGCCAGTGGTTTAGTGCCCCTGAGATCCCCAGAACCCTCCCCCGCCAAAAAAATGACAACAATGCTGGGAGCAGTGGTGTACACCTGTAATCCCAGCAACTTGGGAGGCTGAGGCAGGAGGATCACAAGTTCAAAGCCAGCCTTCAGCAACTTAGTGAGACTTTGAGCAGTTTAGTGAAACCCTGACTCAAAAAATTAAAAAAAAAAAAATTAAAAAGGTCTAGGATGTAGCTCAGTTGTTAAGCACCTCTAGGTACAATCGCTGGTACCATAAGTAAATAATAAATAAATAAATAAATAAATAAGGATGTGCCGGACTAGTAACTCAAGTTGAAGTGAATTTCTCAAAAAAAAACAATATAGTACATTGATTAAAAGCACAACATGTAATCATTAAGATCTACATTTGATGCCAAAACAGTATTAAATTTTCAGGAAATGTCTTTAACAGAAAATGGGAGAAAGCCAGGAAAAACTACCAGAGTCATCAGTCTGTGATGCAGGTCTTTCCCTGAATTGAGAAAAGAGAAAAGGAAGGGTGGGTGGGTGAGTAGAAGCATGTTAGATCAGTGTGCTCTAAAAAAAGTTCAGGAAGACTGTTGGGGAGCACTTAAGTCCTCAGAGGAACCCCAACATCTTGAAAGAATGAACTGAATTAATATCTGTGCCGCAACAGTCACTGGCCAGGAGCATTTGAGCTAAGGCCAGGGGACCTCAGTCATTTGCTCCCCACAGTGGGAAGGACATCTCAAGTGTGTCTCATGGTCAACATACTCAACTGTTTCCTCTTCAGTGAAACAGGACAAAATCCTTTGCCTTCTTACCTCCCAGGGAAGTTGTCTGGCTCAGAGGAGGTAATGTTTATGAACATTTTGTGAATTGTATAGAACATATAAAATATTATTCACACAGAACTATACCCCAGTTACAAGGTATAACTCTTCTTTCCCTTCTGTCTACTTCCTTTAATGTAAACCTGCAGTCTGCCCCTGAAACCCTCATTCTTCTAAGCTACCCAACCAGGTTACTTCCTGAGCCCCACCTTATCTGGAAAGCTATGAACCAAAGGAATGGGAAATGCAGTCCTTTGGTTCATAGCTAAGACTGTCCTCAAATATAGCATGCCAGCTGAATGCTGATAGGTCAGTCCAACCCTGCAATGTCACATCACAAAGCTGGAACTTGACTTCTTAGGTAACCAAGAGCCATATATATAGCAGCTTCATTTTTACCACTTGGAAGAGAGGCAAACTATTAGACTTTGGGAGCCTTATGATTTGTCTATTATTTTATGTTTAAATGGGTAAATATGTACACATGATCTGATGTTCAAAACTTACAAAAGACAACACAGTGAAAGGTCTCTTTTTCATTCTTGTCCTCTAGCCACAAAATTCCCACTCCCTGGAGGCAATCAATACTCTGTTTTTTGTTGTTGTTGTTGTTTGTTTGTGTGTGTGTGTGCAGATATTTAACTCAGGAGTACTTAAAACACTGAGCCACACCCCAGCCCTTCTTTATAACTTATTTAGAGACACGGTCTCCCTAAGGTGCTTAGGTCCTTACTAAATTGCTGAGCCTTGCTTTGAACTCACGATTCTCCTGATCAACCTCCCAAGCCACTGGGATCACAGATGTGTGCCATCCTGCCCAGCTGAGGCAGTCAATACTATTATTTTTTCTTATGTATCCTCATAGACAAGTTTTATGTGTATCATTTATAAAATAACTTGTTAAGCTGTTAAGAAAAAATTCTTATGTGAATCTGCAATATGTATACGGGGTAAAAATGGGAGTTCATAATCTGTTTGAATCAAATGTATGAAATATGATATGTCAAGAGCTTTGTAATGTTTTGAACAACTAATTAAAAAAAGAAAAAAAAAGAAAATGGCAAAAAAAAAGAAAAAATTCTTCAGAAAGTGATTCACTTCCTCTTTAATATAATCATGGGTACCAAATAGAGTACACAGAGTCTAATCCACATAATTTCAGTTATCTTATGTTAGACAAAGGCACCAAAAATGTACATTGGAGCAAAGATAACCTCTCCAACAAATAGTTCTGGGAAAACTGGAAATCCACATGTAACAAAATGAAATTAAACCTCTATCTCTCACCATGCACAAAACTCAACTCAAAGTGAATCAAGGACTTAGGAATTAAACCAGAGATCTTGCACCTAATGGAAGAAAAAGTAGGCCCAAATCTCCATCATGTTGGATTAGGCCCCAACTTTCTTAATAAAACTCCTGTAGTGCAAGAATTAAAACCAAGAATCAATAAATGGAATGGATTCAAACTAAAAAGCTTCTTCTCAGCAAAAGAAAGCATCAGTGAGGTGAATAGAGAGCCTATAGAATGGGAGAGAATCTTTCAGATAGAGCACTTATCTCTAGGACATATATAGCACTCAAAAACCTTAACACCAAAAAAACAAATAACCCAATCAATAAATAGGCCAAGGAACTGAACAGACACTTATTGGAAGAGGATAAACGATCAATCAACAAACATATAAAAAAATATTCAGCATCTCTAGCAATTAGAGAAATGCAAATCAAAACTACTCTAAGATTTCATCTCACTCCAGTCAGAATGGCAGCTCTTAAGAATACAAACAACAATAAGTGTTGGCGAGGATGTGGCATAAAAGGCACACTCATACATTGCTGGTGGACCTGCAAGTTGGTGCAGCCAATCTGGAAAGCAGTATGAAGATTCCTTGGCAAATTGGGAATGGAACCACCATTTGACCCAGCTATCCCACTCCTCAGTTTATACCCAAAGGACTTAAAAACAGCATACTACAGGGACACAGCCACATTGATGTTTATAGCAGCACAATTCACAATAGCTAAATTATGGAACCAATCTAGATGCCCTTCAGTAGATAAATGGATAGGGAAACTTTGGTATATATACACAATGGAACATTACTCAGCATTAAAAGAGAATAAAATCATGGCATTTTCCAGTAAATGGATGGAGTTGGAGAATATAATGCTAAGCGAAGCAGGCCAATCCCCAAAAACTAAAGGCTGAATGTTTTTTTTGATATGAGGATGCAGATGCATAATGGTGATTGGGGGAGGGAGCATGGGAGGAATGGAGGAACTTTAGATAGGGCAAAGGGGAGGGAAGGAAGAGAGTGGGCAAGGGAGTAGAAATGAAGGTGGAATGAGTTAAACATCATTACTTTAATCATGTATAAAACATGTATGGTGTGAAAATACTTTGTGTACAATCAGTGTCTTGAAAAATTGTGCTCTATATGTGTAATATGAAATGAATTGCATTCTGCCATCATGTATAACAAATAAGAATAAATAAAATCAAATCAATAGGGCAGGCTATAGCAAATTCAGCAGTAAAGTGCTATTGAAGAGGATTTCTTTATCTTCAAGTTTTTACATTTCCCAAGTTAAATAAATATAGTTATTTTGAAAAAAAAAGAAAGAAAGTGATTCACTATTCAAATTAGGATATTACTTAGAAACACTATTTAGTTCTAATTGTCTCATTTCAAAAATCCTGAGAGGTAGGAAGCATTTTTTAAAATGTTTTATTAAGATGATTTTCAAATAGCTAGATACAGAGGCACACACCTGGAATCCCATAACTTGAAAGGCTGAGGCAGGAGGGTAACAAATTCAGGGCCAGCCATTAAAATTTAGCAAGGCCTTATGCAATTCAGCAAGACCCTGTCTCAAAATTTAAAACAAAATAATAACAACAACAATAATAATAATTTGAAAAAGGGCAGGGAATACAGCTCAGAGACAAAGTGTCCATGGATTCAATATCTTGTACCACCCCCTCTTTCTTTCTTTCTTTCTTTCTTTCTTTCTTTCTTTCTTCTTTTAATATACAGGGATGTTGAAAAAATTGCTCATTGAACATCCATACACCCACCATCTAGATTCTATGATTGGTAATTTGCTGTATTTGCTTTAGTCTTTATTGTTATTATTCCTATTTTACTGCTGACAAAGCTATGCTAAGTGTTAATATTTATTTCAGAAGTTTCCTGGGCTATCTTGCCCCTTGCTTAATCATTTCAATTCCAGCATTATTTTTCTTTTTCTTCTTTCTTTCTTTTTTTTTTTTTTTTTTGGTACTGGGGATTGAACTTGGGTACACTTAACCACTGAGCCACATCCCCAGCCCATTTATTTATTTATCTATTTATTTTAGTTTTAGGTGGGCACAATATCTTTATTTTACATTTATGTGGTGCTGAAGATCGAACCCAGGGCCTCGTGGATGCTAGGCGAGCACTCTACCACTGAGCCACAACCCCAGCCCCCCCTTTATATATATATATATATATATATTATTTAGAGACAGGGTCTTGCTGAGTTGCTCAGGGCCTTGCTAAATTGCTCAAGCTAGTTTTGAGCTTGAGATCCTCCTGCCTCAGCCTCCCAAGCTGCTGGGATTTAATTCCAGCATTTCAACCAAGGTCTGAAGAGATTAACACTCCCTGGGAATTTACAAGTGGTTTCTTGTGTCTGACTATGGTCTCTAGATAAGCCCCAGAGAGCTCTTGTCTTATTCACTTATAATTTCCCTACCCTAGCAACCTACTGCTGCTCTTCTCCCTGATAATCCTTAGCCAACCTCGTTCTCCTCAGAAGCATGGTAGTTTTTAGACACAAGAGGAAAGCAGGCCGGGCATCCCAGCAGACCCATTCATCTTTCTTTGTCTTAATAGCCTATGTATACAACTAATAGCTTTCCTTTTTCTTTTCTCTCAAGTCTCAACTATTGAATACCCCAAGTGTAAATCTTTAACAGCTGTTCTCCTAATGAAGTTATTATCAATGTTACCCTCATGTGCTCACAAGAATGGTTTCTTAATAGTGTATAAACTTTATTATATGCCACTGGTGTGTACCAATGATCTTTCTAGAACAGTGCTATCCAATAGAAGTTTCAGTCAGCAGTGAGGGAAATGTTCTTTATCTGTGCTGCCCATATAGGCATTGGCCAGATATGGCTGTTGAACTTTGAAATGTGGATGATGTAACTAAGTAATGGAATTTTATTTACTTTTCATGAATTTAAATTTATGTAACCACATATGGTCTTTGCTATCATATTGAACAATGACACTCTACAGTCTTTTAGTGGTATCTTTCAGTAAACTTCATTTTTTTTAAATAAAAAGAGTAATACACCTGCTACTTTGACTTACCTTGTAAACAAATGATTTAGCAAATGTTGCCTGGCATTTCCTTAATTCACAAGAAATAGGCTCCTCAGGGCATTTCCAAGGAACATTATCTGTTAGATACCTTAGTAGAACCTGCAAAAGGATACAAAAATGAAATAGCAGTAGTGTCAGTCCTTATTATTTTTTTTTCCTTTGGGTACCAGGGATTGAACTCAGGGGCACTCAACCAATGAGACACATCCCCAGGCCTATTTTGTATTTTATTTAGAGACAGGGACTCACTGAGTTGCTTAGCACCTTGCTTTTGCTGAGGCTGGCTTTGAACTTGCCATCCTCCTGCCTGAGCCTCCCAAGCCGCTGGGATTACAGGTATGACACCGTGCCAGGCTTCAATCCTTATTCTTAAAGAGCCTACATTCTATTGGAAGAGAAAAAAAAATTGTAAACAACTAAGTGTACAATATGGATGTTGCAATGTGATCTAAGCAGAAAATCAGATATGCCATGCCTTGAGGACACAGCTAAAGAATCAGCTTTTACAGAGTGGGATGTGGGGGCAGGGGAGTTACTACTGCAAGGAAGCTCTCATAAAGAAGGTGGCTTTGTAGTGTTGGGATTTCAGGTGTGCACCACCACATGGGGTAATGCCCACTCATTCTTGAAAACTTGTTCCACTACTTGGGAGGCTGAGGCAGGAGTATCACAAGTTCAAGGCCAGCCTGGGCAAAATTTTTAAAAATTATTTTGAGGGGTGGGGGAGTACAGGGACTAAACCCAGGGACACTTAAGAACCGAGCCACATCCCCAGCCCTTTTTTTATTTTTTAATTTTGAGACAGGGTCTTGCTAGATTGCTTAGGGCCTCACTAAGTTGCTGAGGCTGGTTTTGAACTTGTAATCCTCCTGCCTCAGCCACTCCAACTGCTGGGATTACAGGCATACTCAAGACCCTAGTTTATTTATTTATTTTTTTTAATATTTATTTTTTAGTTGGACACAATTTCTTTACTTATTTATTTTTATGTGGTGCTGAGGATTGAACCCAGGCCTCGCATGTGCTAGGCGAGTGCTCTACTGCTGAGCCACAACCCCAGCCCCAAGACCCTAGTTTTGATCCTCAGTACCAAAAAGGGAGAGAAAAAAAAAATGAGTAAGTGGTGGCACATACCCGTAATCCCAGCAGCTCTAGAGGTTGAGAGAGAAGGATTGTGAGTTCAAAGCCAGCCCCAGCAATTTAGCAAGGCCCTAAACAACTCAGTGAGACCCTATCTCTAAATAAAAAATACAAAAAAAGGGCTGTGGATGTGGCTCAGTAGTTAAGTGCCGCTGGTTCAATCCCTGGCACTACACAAAATAAAGAGTAAGTGGGGCAAAAAGCCAGGTGTGATGGCACATGGCTGTAGTCCCAGCAATACAGGAGGCTGAGGCAGGAGGATTACAGGATTGAGACCAGCCTTAGCAATTTAGCAAGACCCTGTCTCAAAACAAAATAAATAAAGAAAAAGGGCTGGGGAGGGCCAGGCGTGGTGGCACATGCCTGTAATCCCAGCAGCTCCGGAGTCCAAAGCAGGAAGATCGCTATTTCAAAGCCAGCCTCAGCAACAGCAAGATGCTAAGCTACTCAGTGAGACTGTGTCTCTAAATAAAACACAAAATAGGCCTGGGGATGTGGCTGAGTTTAGTCCCCAGTACCTAAAAAAAAAAGGTGGATTGGGGGGCTGGGGATATAGTCCAGCGAGTCTGGGACAGAGAGTGTACATGGGAAGGCCGTAGGAGATGAGGCTAGAAAGGCAGATCAGGGAGGACCTTGGAAGGCACGTCAGGGAGGCAGGTGAGCTGCTGCAGCTGTGCAAGGGAGTGACTTGCAGCAGAAGTGATGATAGGCAGAACTGGAGGGTTAAAGGTGTTCTCACCAGGACTGCATGGGCTTCCGCAGCCATGTGGAAGATGGATTAGAGAGGGTTTGATGCAGCATTCAAGACAGATTTAGGAAGGACAGATAGCTTAAAAAGAAGAACTAGTTTTGTCTGGTTTTGATGGAAATTCTGAAAACCCTAGGAAGCCAAGGGGGGTTCTTCTGTCTAAAGCCTGTCTCCACCTGCCTTACACTGGAGGTCGTTAATGATGGCATCTCTAGAACACAAACCTATCCCAGGAATAGTTTGGCTCCCTTTATCTGCTATTTTGCCCTCTATACAAGGATTGTGGCACTCACTGAAATGTTCTCAACTATTGATTGTTAATATTGTTCTTTCCAGTTAGGTGATCATGACATTTTGAAACATCATTAAATTGGGGTACACTGTTGTGACAGCTGATTCTCTAAGTCAGCCCTGTCAGTTTGGAGCTTAGGTGGTAGAGGGTAGAGGTAGCAATAGGTAGGATAAAAAGATAAGAAAGGCTCTTTGAAGCAGATGGGAAGTGCCAGTCACAGTAACAGAGATGGAGGTCTTTGTTTCCCAACAAGTGGCACAGTGAGTGCAAGGAGTTTGAATCTCAGTTTCCCTAATAGCTGTGTTACCTTAGGCAAATTACTTAACAAGTCTGTACTTCAGTTTCCTTACTTATAAAGTGATGATGATGAAGAGGATCATTTTGTTGATGATGATAACAAAAGAACCTACCTCGTGAGAGCATTTCTTTTGGTATGGGGAATTGAACTCAGGAGCACTCAACTACTGAGCCACATCCACAGCTCTTTTTTGTATTTAATTCAGACACAGAGTCTCTTTGAGTTGCTTAGGGCCTTGCTAAATTGCTGAGGCTGTCTTTGAACTCACTATTCTCCTGCTTTATCCTCCAGAGCTGCTGGGATTACAGGCCTGAACCACCATACTGGGCTTGAGAGCATTTCTTAAAGGGCTTAGTAGGATAATACCTACCTTGAGGTAAGGGCCCAATAAGTATTCATTATTATTAGTGCTACAGAACAACAACAAAAAAGGAGACAAATGCTGTTTTCTCTGGCTGAGATGGAAAACAGTGGTTTTATCCTTGAATGTATGTGCTAATAATGTTTATGAAATATTTAAATATATTGTATATCAATAGAGTAAAAAAGATTATTAAGCCAACCTGCAATACTATTAACAATTACAATAAATCAGATATCTAGGTGAAAGTTCATAGAGGAACGTGTGCCACTGCAACACAAACCAGAGCAAAGTTCAGAGCTAGACAGCGTGGCTGAGTTATTCATCCATCTGATCATAAGACCAGTTAACCTTTTAGCACCATGAGGTGGACATAAAATTTTAACAGGAAATGACTCAAGTCTAGAGCAAAGTTCCCACAAAGAAAAGTTGTGCAAGACAAAACGACCCATGTGGAGTGTCACACACGATAAGGTGATGTGTTGCTCAAGATGCTGGTGTGCAGTCAACCTTTGCAGCAGTCAGATGGTTGTCTTCCTTCAGGAAAAGCTTTCCACTTGCCCTAGATGGACACTTTCGCCTTTTGGGCGACTTCCCAAAGTACACTTACCTAAGCCTGTAAGTAAAGAGAAACTTGTTCAGGTGCTCTGAGTTTATCATTCTTCTTTCTTAGACTCCCACATCAGGGTCATCCAAAGGTGAATGAGGTTCCCAGAGAAGATCGCCTGAGGACACTGAATATTTCTGAACTCTACTTCACTCTTCGGGAGTGGCTTCACCTAGAGCTGGAAGCTGAGCTCACAGCTCACAGGGGTTAAAGCACAAAGTATGCTGATAAAATTGAGAGGAGTTAAGAATCAGCTCAAAGCAATCAACAACATATTGAGAAGCAGAGTGGTGTGGAGGATAAGTGGCTTAAAAGTCACACAGATCTCGGTTATAACACCAGCTTTCACCTTTGCAAAATGGCTACGTACAGTCAGGCACACTGGCACAACCCAACATGGTGGTGCAGCCTGTTATCCCAGCAACTCTGGAGACTGAAGCAGGAGGACTACAATTTCAAGTCCAGCCTGTGCAACTTAGTGAGACCCTATCTCAAAATAAAAAAATAAATAAAGGGCTAGGAGTATAGGTCAGTGGTAGAGAGCTCCTGGGTTCAATCACCAGTACCTAAATAAATAAATACATAGTAAGTTGCAAACTGTATTCATTCTACTATGCTATAGAACTCTGGAACTTATTTATCCTATTTAACTGTATTTTGGGGGAGTTACTGGCGATAGAACCCAGGGGCACTTTGCCACTGAGCCATATTCCTAGCCCTTTTCATGTTTTATTTTGAGACAGATTCTCACTAAGTTACTGAGGGTCTTTCCAAGTCACTGAGGCTGGTCTCGAAGATGCTCCTGTCTCAGTCTCCCCAGTTGCTGGGTTTACAGATGTATGCCACCACATCTGGATCTAACTGTATTTTAGTACATGTTATCCAGCCTCTCTCTATCTCTGCTGTGTCCTACCCTTCATAGACTCTAGTGTTTCTTTGGAGTCCACTATTCTACTTTCTCTGTTTTTATCCTTTTTAGTTTTTTTGGCTTTCTGAGCTTGGCTCATTTTATTTGAAATAATGTCATTCAATTCCAACTATGTTTGCCAGAAATTATAGGACTCATCCTTTTTTTAGGGCCAAATATTCTATTGTGTGTATATATACCATAGTTTCCATCCATTGACAGCCACTCGTTTGACTCCATAGCTTGGCTTCAGTGAATACTGATGCAATAAACACAATAAACATGTGAGTGCAGCAATCTCTTCAATATACCAACTTCGTGTCCTATGGATACATGCTGTGACATTTAAATTGTGAATGTCCTGCAAAGACCCATATAGTTGCCAACCTGTGGCACTACTAGGAGTGGAACGTTTGGTAGGTGGGGCCAAGCAAAAGGAAGCTGGGTCATTGGTGGGCTGTGTCTTTAAAAGAGATATTAGGAGAAAAGATTAACATTAAACAGATACATGAGGTGGGATGGAAAGGGAGAGAAAAGGGAAATTGCATGGTAATGGAGGGAGTCCCTCATTGTTATACAAAATTACATATAAGAGGTTGTGAGGGGAATGGGAAAATAAACAAGGAGAGAAATGAATTACAGTGGATGGGGTAGAGAGAGAAGATGGGAGGGGAGGGAGGGGGGATAGTAGAGGATAGGAAAGGTAGCAGAATACAACAGTTACTAATAGGGCATTATGTAAAAATGTGGATGTGTAACTGATGTGATTCTGCAATCTGTATTTGGGGTAAAATTGGGAGTTCATAACCAACTTGAATCTAATGTATGAAATATGATATGTCAATAGCTTTATAATGTTTTGAACAACCAATAAAAAATAAAAATAAAAAAAAAATAAAAGAGATATTAGGATTCTAGTTCCTTCCTCTCTTTGCTTCCCAGCTTCCATAAAGTGAGCATCTGCTCCACTATGCTGTCCAGCCATGATGTACTGGGCTACCATAGGCCCAAACCAGCAGTACCAAGTGACCATGAACTGAAACATTAGGAACTCTAAGCCAAAATACATCTTTCTGCCTTATAAATTGATTATCTGAGATATTTTTGTCCCAGCAATGGGATGTTAATACACACTCAGTAGTAGGTTTGCTGGATCATATGGTAGTTCTTTTTAGTGTGGTGAAGACATTCCACACTATTTTCCATAATGGCTACATTAATTTGCATTTTTACCAATAGTGTGTATGGATTCCCCCCTCTCTGCAACCTCTCAAGCATTTCCTTTTTTCTATTTTTTTTTTGTTTGGAGGGGGAGTTAGGGATTGAATGCAGGGCCTCACTAATGCTAAGCAAGCACTCTACCACTGAGCTTTTCTAAAATTTTAATTTGAGACAGGATCTCACTAAATTACCCAGGCTGGCATCAAATTTTCAATCTTCCTGTTTTAGTCTCCCAAGTCACTGGGATTACAGGCATGCACCACTGTACACTGTACATGGCTTGGTGTGTACTTCTTTTATTATGAAGGAGATTAGGAATCTTTTCCCGAATGGGAGAAAAGTGTTTGTAAACAAACACAGTACAAAATCACTATGACAGTCAGGCATGATGGTGCATGCCTGTAATCCCAGCAACTCAGGAGGCTGAGGCAGGAAGATTACAAATTCGAGGCCAGCCTCAGCAATTTAGCAAGACCTCATTTCAAAAGGAAAAAAGAACTGGGGATGGAGCTCAGTCATGGAGTGCTACTAGGTTCAATCTCCAACACCAAAAGATAAAACAAAACAAAACCACTGTGACAAAAGATTCTTATATGCCGAGTGCACTTGTGCATGCCTGTAATCTCGGTGATGAGGGAGGTTGAGGCAAGAAGATTACAAGTTTGAGGTCAACCTCAGCAATTTTGCAAGGCTCTAAGCAACTTAGCCAGACCTCATCTCAAAATAAAAAATAAAAAGAACTGGGGATGTGGCTCAATGGTTAAGCAACCTCAAGTTCAATCCCTGATACCAAAAAATTAAAAAATAAAATAGAGTAAAAGCAATGAGGATATAGCTCAGTGCTAAAGCACCTCTGGTTCTTCGGTGCCTTGGGTTAGGAAGGAAGGTCAGTGAAGTCTCTGCATGTGAGCTACCTCCTCTACAGATGAAGGATGTGTAGCAACTCTGTGATAGAGTACACTGAACCTTGTATGTAGTAAGTCAAATGCCGGACAACTAGACATTGACTTAAATGACAAAATGAAGACATTTGGAGAACACATATTTTGAATGGCTGAGGGGATTTTTGGTTATATTAAGAAAGACACTGGCACACAAATATCAGTACCTAACGAAATAAAACACAGATTCAGACAGTGGGACTGGGTCAGCCCCAGAGGACCATCCAGGATCTTCATAAGGTTCATCTGGTTTCTTCCACTTTCTAGATGTTGAGCGACCTCTAATGGCCAAACAGGGAAAATGTCTATTATTTTTATATTTATTTGCTTGTTTTTATTTGTATTTATTTTTATTTGTTCTTTTTAGTTTTACATGACAATAGAATGCATTTTGATATATTTGAACAAGCATGTAATATACCTCATTCTAGTTAGGATCCCAGTCCTGTGGGTGTACGCAATAGTGAGAGTAACTGTGGTGTATTTGTATATGTACATATGAAAGTTAAGTCAGATTCATCCCACTGTCTTTTCCTATCCCATCCCACCTCCCTTCCCTTCATTCCCCTTTGTCTAATCTACTGAACTTCTATTCTTTCCCTCCCACCTTGTTTAGGGTTAGCATTCACATATCAGAAGTAGTCATGTTTAAGTAACCACATACACAATTTTAATAGAAAGCTTACCTCCAGATTAATGGAAAGATTGAGTTATATCTCTTCCCTGTAAACAAAAGGGAAAACTGAATAAAATAAAGATAATTAATTAATGTGGTGTGATGCACTGAATGAAATGAGGGAGAGCTGGGCGCAGTATCGCACACTCGTAATTCCAGGGGCTCCAGAGGCTAAAGCAGGAGGAACACAAGTTCAAAGTCAGCCTCAGCAATTTAGCAAGGCCCTAAGCAACTCAGCGAGACTCTGTCTCTAAATAAAATATTAAAAAGGGCTGGGGATGTTGCTCAGTGGTTAAGCACCCCTGGATTCAATCCCCACTACCAAAAAAAGAAGAAGAAATAAAGAAAAAAAAAGGGGGGGGGGCGGCAGGAAGATAGAATTAGAACACCTTAGAATACAATCTCTTCACTTTGTCAATGAGGAAATTTACTCCCAATGAGAAATGATTTTCCAAAAGTCACATAGCTAGTGAGTTAGTAATGCTTTGATCTAGTTATGATTTTGCTACAGTGAATAGGAGAATAGTGAATATTTTCCCTTACATTTGTAAAGGACAGAGGACAAAGACAAATACTTTCTGGGACTAGGTAGGTGGCTCAGTAGTAGAGCTCTTGCCAAGCAGGTGCAGTCTTTGGGTTTAATCTACAGTGGGGGAAGGGGAGATAAATACTTTCTTTTACTTATTTTTTCTTTCCTTTTTTTTTTTTTGTACTGGGGATTGAACTCAGGGGCACTGGATCACTGAGCCACATCCCCAGCCTTATTTTGTATTTTAGAGACACCGTCTCACTGAGTTGCTTGGGGCCTTGTTAAGTTGCTGAGGCTTTGAACTCGAGATCCTCCTGCCTCAGCTTCCTGATGGCTGGGATTACAGGCATGTACCACCATGCCCACCTTGTGTGAGTTTTTTATTATTATTTTGTAGGACTTTTTCTGATATATTAAAACCCATGAATTTATAATCTGAGGAATTCACAAACTCCATATCTATAATATTTAAGACAATGCAGTCAGTTACTAGGCATTAGGCTTCTGGCATAGGATATTTGATTATTTTTAGTGGACTACAAAGGAAAGTTCCTGCAATGCCAAACTATATTTCAAATATCCCATGCAAAGTTTTGATCTTTTTTTTTCCTGAAAACTTAACAGCATTTTATTTGATTAACTATAGACACATCATGGGTTAATTTAACCCCTCTGAGATACAGTATTAACAATGCAAAATATTTTTAAAGTTTTTTTGATTGTCTTAATTTTTTATTTATATATGACAGCAGAATGCATTACAATTCTTATTACATCTGTAGAGCACAATTTTTCTGGTGTATACATAGTATATTCACACCAATTTGTGTCTTCATACATGTACTTTGGATAATAATGATGGGGCATGGGGTAATTAATGATGGTGGAATGTGATGATCATTATTATCCAAACTTTTAATCTTTATAACCTAAGAATTGCTTCCTTAGTTTTTGTCTTTGTGTCATATCCTGCAACAGGCAAAAGTGGGGTAAGTATCAAATCATACCATTTTTTCAGATGGACATGATATCTTTATTTAATAATTTATTTATTTTTATGTGGTGCTGAGGCTTGAACCCAGTGCCTCACATGTGCTAGGCAAGTGCTCTACCCAGAGCTACAGCCCCAGTGCAAGACACATCATTTAATTAGCCAACCCTTAAATGCTTACTGATTCCCTTAAGTATGCACACCATCAAAGGGGCTGCAGGACTGGGCATGGTGGCACATGCCTATACTCTCAACAGTTAAGGAAGCTGACATAGGAAGATCACAAATTTGGGACCAGCCTGGGCAACTTGGTGAATCACAATCTCAAAATTAAAAAATAAAAAGACTAGGGATGTAGCTCAGTTGTAGAGCGCCCCTCAGTACAATGCCCAGTACCGGTGGAGGTAGGGAAGGACTGTGGGGGACACAACACTGTTCAAAGCAGAAAATAAGTCACAGTGAACTCAGTTCTCTAATCCATTGATCTGAGTTAAATCAGAAGCAACTTTGAAGAGAAAAGGGAATTACATCAACACAACCACCACACTGGGAGATATATTTACTAATTCATTGACTTTTTTATTTTGAGCATCTCTACATAGTAATGCTAGAGATACTGCAGAGATCAAGACCCAGCTTTCATGGAGATTATACCCTGGTAAATATACACTAACAAGTGTGAGAAGTGAGACAAAAAAAAAAGAAGTTCCTGGAGCTTTAAAAATATAAAACAGCCATTACTTATTATAGTGCTTGCTATATACCATGTACTATTCTGAGCACTTAGAACATATTAAATTCTTTAATCCTCCCACCAGTCCTATAATAAAGGTTCTTTATCCCCATTTTATAGATGAGAAGATTGAGAACCAGAGAAGGTTTGTTCCCCCTCAGTGTAGGGGCCTTGGGCTTGCTAAACATGTGCTGTACCACTGAATTACACCCTAGCCTTGAAGAGATTTTTTTTACTTGCTCCAGATTACACAGATTCATAAGTGTCTGTGCAGCCTTAAGCAAAAAGAAAATATTGAGAGGACTTAACCTGGTCAGAAGAAACTGTGTAAGTAAAGAAGCAGCATGATTACTACCCATCTGAAGCTTGACTACATTTAGTACTTTGCTGAGGTCCAGATCCATGTGTGCCATCTCCACATGGATGGCCCAGAGACATCACAAAGTCAATACATCCAAAGCCAGATTCTTCCTTTCTACTAGACTGTTATTCCTATGCTTTTTCACCTCAGTAAATATACTAATATGCATTCAATTTAAGACAAAAATTGGGCATCAATTTTCCTCAACATTTTGAATGTGGGCAAACATCAACACACAAAGAAGGCAAAAAAAAAGTCTATTATTTAGCTAATCTCCGTTGGGGATGTGGCCTAGTGGTAGATTGATTGCCTAGCAGGTAGAAGGCCCTGGGTTTAATCCCCAGCGCTGCAAAAATAATAATAATAATAAAGGAAAAAAGAAAAAAGCTGTTGTCCTAGCTTTGTAATCTCCTATTTGTTGTAGACATTGCAACTGCTTTCTCTCCCAGAGTATTGATTGTTTTTTAAAGCTTTATTTATTTGAATCGCATGTGCATGTGTATTTTGGTGGTGGTGGTAAGGATCAAATCCAGGGCCTGAAATATTTCTGAGAAGGTCTTATTTTTTTTTTTCTTCTGCAGTATTGGGAATTGAATTCAGGGGTGCTCAACCACTGAGCCACATCCCCAGTCTTTTATTTGTTATTTTGAGATAGGTCTTGCTAAGTTGCTGAGGGCCTCTCTAAGTTGCTGAGGCAGGCTTTGAATTTGCCATCTTCTTGCCTTAGCCTCTTGAGCCACTGGGATTATAGATGTGTGTACAAACAGTATTACTTTAAACCCCTACCTGCTGCATATAGGTGTATTTTTAAGCACTTACCTCAAAAATAGCTATTATCAAATATTTTCACTTTTATTACGGAACAGTGAACGACAGTAAAAGACCTTTTCTATCATGAGTGATCAAGGAAGATTTCACCCAATAATAACATTGAATTAGGCCTTACATATAGGTAATACAGGCAGGAAAATTCAACAAAGGGAAACTCTGGGGCATATTCCAGGAGAGAGGAGAGACCAGTGAGCCAAAACAGGCAGGTGAAGTGGAGCTGCTTAAGTCAGCCTGGGAAAGTGAATTGAGACAATGTTCCAAGGCCTGAAATACAGAGTGAAGGAATTTAATACGTAAGCTAACACTGATGTTTTTGAATACAAGCATGACAGAATGACATGCTGAAAGCAAGTCTTTAAGAAAAACAATTAAGGACAAGTTTCCAGCACTTTACAAGCCACCATGAATTTATCCTGGCAAGTTTTCTATACCGTTCTTGGAATGAACTAACTACAGTAAAATATAGCCAATACCTAATTTAAAGAATTATCACTTCAGCTTGGTATGGTGGCATACTCTTGTAATCCCAGTGATTTGGGAGGCTGAGACAGGAGGATTACAAGTTTAGGCAGCCTCGGCAACTTAGCAAGGCCCTGGCAACTTAGAAAGATCCAGTCTCAAAAACATATATATATATATAAAATATATAAAATGCACTAGGGATGAAGCTCAATGGTAAAAGCACCCCTGGTTCAATTCCCTGCACC